TGAGGGACCTGCTGTCACCTCCCACTGACAACAGGCCAGGTACTGACACTCTGACTAAACTGTCTGAGAAATGAGTGGAGGAGTGAAGGTAATGATCTGGATTGTTCCACAAGATGTGATTCTGATCTGCATATAAACTTCAAGGCCTGTTTTAAGCGATCGATCCTAATGGATCCTGCTGAAATAAGAATTTAAAAATGAGACACAAACATGTTAAGTCCTTTTCTTCTGGGTACTGTTGTTAATAATGTGAATAATTGGTTTGAATATGATGGAGGTCTATGGCACAGATGAATATACCAGAGTTATAAAGCAGCGTTTGGATACACAGATAATAGAAATATCAGTTCATTGTTGATTTGAGTCTTTTCATGGTTTTTCATGGCCATGAGAAAAATAATACATTATTCTCCTTAAATTAAATATATAGTGACGTGGACAACCACAAATATCCACATTCACCATGATTATTCAGGATCATTCATATGGTTAAACACAACATTATATTGACCATATAGAATAAATGCTCTCTGTGTCTCTGGCTCAATTTCCACTCTTTTTCCATTTTCACTGTGTAGGTCAGTTAGACAACAGGAGTAAGCTCCGTAACGTGGAGGACCTGCGTCTGGCAGGGTTGGACATTACGGACACATCTCTGCGCCTCATCATCCGTTACATGCCCTCGTTGTCCAAGCTGGATCTCAGCTACTGCAACCACGTGACTGACCAGTCTGTCAACATCCTGACGGCTGCAGGGACGACCACCAGAGACTCGCTCACTGACATCAACCTGTCAGGTACAAGCTTGTCTTTGTTGGCTGTAAAATCTGCCTGCATCTGACTCGCTTCCACTCAGGGATGAAGTTTGAATTTATTCAATATTGACGCATCACGTCTTTAGCTGAATAAACAAACTAGTGTTTTTACCTCATTAAACACAAATCTATAAATATGCTCATACTGCTGCAGAACATCCTCCAAAGTACATGCCTAGTTTTTACTTCCAGACAGGGACCTTGTGCCATTTCATAGATTTTTATTACCTTTGGTAATAAAAACCAAAAAGTTTCTTGGTTGTTACTTTGAATTAATATATTCAGGTTGTTTTCAATCTGCTTTTATAGGAGTTGATTCAGCCTAATGATCATTTAGAAGGCTGTAGTTTGTGGTGTTACTTCTTGCTGTTCTATCAGAGCTTTTAAATGACATGAAAATTGATTTAACCATTTGTTGGGACGTGCACACAAAGCTAAAAATAATCAGACCGTATACTTGTTGTCTCTTTGGATTGCCATTAAATGTGTAAAGCAGTGAATCATTATGGATACAGCTGAAAGGCAAATGCATTTTGTCTTTCTGTGGAGTGCTTCAGCCTCCTCATCCATTACCAAAAACATTGCTGAGCATAATCAGGCCTTTGGATTTCACATCCTCAAATATTCTAAAAGGGTTGATTTATCCATGTCATGGCTTTTGTCAGTGCAGGTGTCCCATCACGCATCACTTGTTCCCTCTCTTCTAACCCAATTTCTCCTCATGCAGTCTGTAACAGGGTCACAGACCAGTCGCTGACCTATTTCAAGCGCTGTGGAAGCATATGTCATATCGACCTGCGATACTGCAAACAGGTGACCAAGGAAGGGTGCGACCAGTTCATCGCAGAAATGTCAGTCAGCGTGCAGTTTGAGCTGATAGAGGAGAAACTGCTGCGAAAGATCAGCTAGACAGAGGCTCTTTGACATTTAACAAGTGGTGAAGCTACTGTCCACACGGAGGCAGCAGACGACTGCGCGCTGGTGGAGAGCAGCGCCGAGTGTCATCTGCAGACTACTGAGCAGACGAGAGGAAGCTGTCTCTTCCTGTGCAGCCTGATGTAAAAGGGAAGCTGTGCTGCTAAGCCCGAATGTAAAAAGAAAAAAAAGAAAGTCCAGTGAAGGCAATATTGCAAAAATGTTTTTTTTGTCGTTGTTTGCACCTTGTTTAAAAGTTATTTATTTCTTTGTATTGATGTATCATGATTATCTTTTGGGTGTTCATAGACTATTTTTTTGTTCCAATGCAAAGTTTACTGCATTATAGAGTAATATTTTTGTATCAGAAAGTGTTTCATACATTTATGTGCAGTATTGAATGCACCAGTGTACAGTATCATACCATGAAAGTTGATAATCGTTCGGCATTACTGTTAAGCTCTTGTTGTCGAGAGGCATTTTATTGCCAAACTGTAGGACGGTAGCTTGTGTTTGTGCGGGTGTTTTTATATTTTATTATACGTGTCAGTGCCCTGGTTTCTGATTGGACAAAGGTGCTGTACTTTTTGTTTTTTATAAGACTACATATGTTGCTCTGTCCTCGTGGTAGAGACGTTTAAAAAATGCATTTGCACTGATACAGTAAATATGAATGTGTATAAAGCCTATTTTTCCAACACTAAAGCGTTCTGCTAATTCTACTAACAGCTTCTAGTTACTGGGTTATACTGACACATACCTGTATACAAAGGTGTCTGTCGATCATCACTCTTTTAGTATCGTCGGTGCTTCGTGAAAGGAAGCGTTTGAGAGGCTGCATGCAGAAAAGAAACATTTACAACACAGTCAGTAGATTTAGAAACCGATAAATATTATAACCATCTACTCCTTTACTCCTTATCCTGAGCTGAACTCCACGTGATAAAAAAACCAGACTAATGAAGAGGAAGCAAAGTCCAGGAGGAGAGGAAATTAAATTCACACAAATCTTTTAGATGAGGCTTTGGAACTCAGGTGTAATCAGTCAAACAGACAGGACACCAAATGATTAATGAAAAAAAAATCTCATCTTATACTGTATATCCCAAAACTCATGACCACAGATATTTGGTTTATTTAGTGATTCATTGTTTCTAGATGTGAGGGATGACCTTGTCTTTTATTAAGATAATATCAAGACAACATTAGAATCAGTCTTTAAAACCCAAGGTTCAAAAATTCCGTAAATTGAGATGAGATAAGACTTTATAGACCCCACATGTCCATTCATCCTAAATTATATTTTAAGACCCTTCAAAAACATCTGTCAATCATCTGAAAGATTTGTGGAATTGGATTTTGTTTATTCTTTATTCTGTCTCACATTCCAGTGAAAGACATTTATTCTTTTCTTTAAAATAGTTTTTTGAAAGTAACATTTTTTTAGTACTCATTTGTGTTAAAGAACATCACAGCCTATGGCACCATTTCATTGTTCTCACTGTGTGCCTGTATTCATCGTCATAATATTCAACTTGATACACGAATCACAAATTTTCTTATCGGAACCAATACATTTCTAAAAGGCTTCACAGTAATGATTTGATTTGTTTGCGTTTTGTGTAGCTGTTGGACAGAGGTTGACATGCTTCAGTGGATGGGTTTGCATTTAAATATTTGTTTTTCCTAAACAACCACATCTCATTGGAAGATTTTACTACATTAATGTAAATGTTCTGTGTACATAATGTACATGTAAAGCCTCTAAAGTCAACCTTTGAGATATTAAATCCGTTTAAAATACTGAAATGTGTGTGGTTTTGGTCCTTTGGCCTTTTAAAGATTCCAGTAACTGCAAATGTGATTTAATACTGCAGACAACAATATGCTTTGTTAGGAATACAGCAGTTTTGATAAAGAGCTTTTCTAGTCTTATTGACCCCTCAAGGTGCTTTACACCATAAGTCACATTCATGCAGCGTTTTTTTCTATCATACACCATTCACATGGCCATCAGGGGCAATTTGAAGGTTTAGAATCTTGCCCAAGGACACTTCTGCGCTCGGCCTGGAGGAGTCGAGGATTTATCTGTTTAAAGTTAAACCGAGGAAACATTTGTTGTAGGAAGGCAATTTGAATCCAAGGCGTGAATGGCCGACCAAGAACATGTAGAGAAGAAATTACAAATTCTAAATACATTAAATGATCCACAATACAAGCAACTGAAATGACATGAAAAATCTCATAACTTTTGAAAGTGTTTCATAAAAATTAGCAACATGACAAAATGAAGAGCGTTTTTCTCAGGTCTGGTTTGTAGTACTGCATTTTATTGAATCTAATAAATCATTTTTCTCTTGTTTACCAAAATAAAAAGGTTCAACATTCCAAAATATAAAGATCCAGGATTATGAGTGCTCATGATACCCTCCTACTCTGGTACTACTGTAGCTGCCCATGAATGACATCTTTGAGAAACAGCAGCGTCAACAAACAGACTTACAGAGTTACAGTGTTATAGTTTCAGTGTCAGGTTCAGATCTGAAGCAGACGATGGTGAGAGGCGCTGTAGGAAAAGCGAGACCATCACTTTAGTGGTGAATGAGGAAATCTTCTGACCAAAACCAGCAGGAATACATTCTGAAAAACTGTATATTCTTTATTTTCAAACCTCCGCACTGATCAGAATGTTAAATCATGTCTTCTCCCAAGTACATGGAAAAATATACATTTAATAACTCATCAGTAAACAACAATATAAACTATCTACTGTATGTTATTCACTTAACAGCAAATGAGTTGGTTTTTTTTCTTTTTTTTACCACAGGCATACTGTACACGCAGATATTTTAGTAACTCAATCTCATGACGAACAAAAAAGTGTTTCATTTGCATAACAGGTTAAAGTAAACCAGGATTCTTTGACCTCTCGCTGTGGATGATGTTTGGAAGGACACAGTGACGACATGACAGAAAGGTGTGATGATGTTACGCTACAGAGAAGAGGAAGTAGCACCTTTTACCTGCCTACGATTCTACGTTAGTGGACACACAGACACTTGGTGGACGTGTAAATCAAATAGTATTGCTTGGTGGAAGATATTTTACTAGTGAGGACCACACCCCAAGGATGTTTGATTTCAAGGTTTGAATGGAAATCCATATATTGCATGTCGAGAGTTGAGGTGAAGGTGTGTCCGATGGGCGGGTGATGGAGGACGCACTGGTGACCAGGCGGAGGGAGACTCAGTGTGGAGCTTTAACAACCCCCCCCCCCACCCACCCAGACAGTACCAAGAACGAGACATGCAAGAGGCATGCACCAGAATAAGAAGGGATGAGGGAGGGAGGGAAGAGAGGATGACTGGATGAAGGAAAGGGAAAGGAAAAATATGAGACAAACAAATATGTTGACAGGTGATTAGAGGTATGTTTGAGGCGTGGCCCTGCTTCCAAACCAAACTAGTTACTAGTTTCATTAAAATGGAACAAGTCTTTAAGAATGTCTTGGCATCATATAAGCTGCGTCCCAATTCAAAGGCTGCATCCTACACAGGATGTGGTCTACGAAGACCACCTCCTTCATGCGCCAGGCAGTGACCGCAAATGAGACGGTCTGGTCTACAGAGGATGTCCGTCTCCATCATCTTACTGCTGTCTCCTAGCAACAGCGCTGCAGTTGGACACCAAAAAGTTTTTATGCTTCTTGGTTTTTTTTCAACGTGTGGCATTAGATGTGCAGTTGAGTTGAAGCCTGTCAGTTGTCGAGAATTCTGGGATAGTTTGGCCCAAGACGGATCCACCATTTGGTTGGTGGATGAAAGGACGCATATGTTTGGCCGTATTTTTAGGAGCCTTCCCAGTGAGACACCGCTGTGACGCGAGTCTTCCAATGCAGCCTCCGAAGGACGCAGCCCCTGATTTGAGACACAGCTATAACCTCCAAGTCACATGATGTCAACTCAAACATCTCCATGACAACCATGGAAACTTTCTGATGCAGACCGTTTGTAAATGAGTCTGAAGTTATGATTTTCTTTCTCATCGCTCTGCTTTCTCAAAGGTCAAAGGTCAAGAAGGAACTTCCACACTGAACAGGAACATCGTGCAGCATGTTGTCGGCAGGAGTGGCGTCTGTGCACCGGATTTTTAGTCGAGGGAAATGTCAGAGCACATTCACACATGGTGTTCACACATTTACTTTTATTTCCTAAAGTTCATTTGAGAAAACAGAAAGAAAACAGGAGTAAACTATCACACCAACTTTGCTGGTTGTGAGATGCATGTCGCTACTGATGTGAAATCCTAACCCAAATATCAGACAAAGGCATGACGTTTGGCACCTCACAGCCTTCTGCGTGTGAGACGAGATGACTAAAGACATGTGTAAGTAAGTCTCTTTCATTTTTTTCTCTGATATTGCACATCCTAAAGAACACTGAGGGAGATAGCACACGGCGTCATGTGGCATGACTGTGTAAACCGTATCGACTCTAACCCTGGGATCTTACATTTCTCATCGCGCTGCGTCAGAACAAACTGATTCTGCTTCAAGTCACCACGGGACTGCCATCCTCTCCTCCTCTCCTGCGAGTAGGATCTAAAAAGAGAGTAGAAAGTGATGGGGGGGGGGGTCTGCTGTGTGTTTATCAAACCCAAGAGAGAGGGAGTGTGTGTGTCCCGGTGCAGCTGATGACGGTCCACCAGGGAGGAGCAGTGGGACTGGAGCATGAGTTAGTAAAGAGGGGAGGAGGGGGAACCAGACCGTGGTAGGCCAGAGGCAACAGTCTGGTTTCCGGGGAGTTGCTCGTGCCTGCTGCAGCATTAGGCCTCGTGTGAGACGTCACGCACAGCACTTCTTCCTCAGTGGTGTAGACAGAGCTCGGGCCACGTGTGCGCGCCTGAGGGGGGCCGCTCCGACGCGCACACGCTCGAGAGTCTCTAAGACTTGAAGACGTGCACGGCCCGCACTACGTACTGCCTGCATATGGGGCACTCGCTCATCCTCTTCCCGCATTTGGTGCAGGTGACCATGTGGCCGCACTCCAGCAGCACACAGTCGATGATGGCGTCCATGCAGATGCGACACAGGTTTTCATCGGCCGCCAGCTGAGCTTTGACACCATCTGTGGACGGAAATATGAAGTCAGGTTCCAGTGACAACAGTTCACTCAAATACACAATAGTGTAGTTCTTTCCTGAGCCATAATATATTCCACCATGTTTTGTGATAATCTGTACAGTAGTTTTTACCGAAATTCCACTGACCAACAGCTCGACCAACAAAAGCAGATGAAAACATAACTCCTCCAATTCTTCAGAAGTGATCACAACATCATTCAGCTCTGTTTGGCCCAGCTGTGACCTGCCGTAAACTATCTCATCTCAATCTCTCCTCTCTAGTTGTTAAGTCATCAAGTGTACAAGTCCTCATTAAAATGTTTAATCAGCATTGTCCAAATCTTATAAATGCCACATCTGTTCCTGAAAACTGCTTTGCTGAATATTTGGTTAAAGGATTAATCAAAAAGTCAAAGCTTTCGTATACGTTCAATGAGACATGAAACAAATCATTTCATCAGCAACTATCTGGTGCACACAGAGCGAATACCTCCACCTGCGCATCTCACCGTGTTAAAGCAATAAAACCACACTCCTCCACAAAATTCAATCCTGCTAACTAACTAATTAATAAGCAGACAAGCAAATACCAATAAAAACATAATCTCTAGAAACAGATTCAGACGATAGCCGATGGGCAACGAGCCAGATGAAAAAACTTCTTGATAGAGCTAATAACCAACACGGACGTAAATTAAAACTCCATCTGCTGCTGATCATGTGATGGAACTGAAAGGAAAAAAAAAAGCTCCTTGAAAACTAAAGCAACAAATGAGTCAGGGTAGTTGCAGACGTCCAGATGCCTCGCCCCTATAACAAACTATAAAACTAGCAGGAAACACAAATGCCAAAATCGTAAACCTCCTCGGTGGAAGTAATAACCAACATGGACGCTGATGAAGATCATGTGGTACGACTGAAAGATGCAGAACAGCTGCTCAATAGACATGTGGGTTTTATTTAATTGTTAAAAGCTGACAGCTCTTATAAAACCCTGGTCACTGAAACCAAGAATATGAAAACTAAAGTATAATTTTAAGCATTCATTAAAAAAAACAAAAAACGTTCTCATGTGCCTCTAATCTGTCTGACAGCTGATTGATCAGCTCATTGGCTTAAATCTGGCTCCTGCTGCGCTCAGCTGTAAAAAGCCAACAGAGCCCATCGGCTGGCCCCTACACATCGAACCGTGTCTACCCTCCTCGAGCTCTTCATGTCAACAGGAGGACCAGAGGAGGTCTGAGAATGTAATTACACCTGATGGAGACATGCTGCCACTGAAGTAATGCGATGACTCATCACAGAGGTAAGAGCTCTGAGAGAGTGGGTTAATGACGGGATGAGAGAATGAAATGAGATGATGCACATTGGAGAAGAGACACGAGTGACACAACGTGCAGACGCTGAGAAATACAAGAGATAATGACTCAATTTACCGTAATGGGATAATATACAGGATGATAAAAAGGATCAAGAGGGTGAAAATGGCTCGAGCCCGACCAATTTATCAGCTAGTCAATAAAAAACTGTCTGCCTTTGGCAGACTGTGTTCATGTTTCTAAATTTGAAAACACAGAATTAACAATGCAGAAAAGATTTATTCTCTCAATTCAAGTTCTTTAAATGTGTTTGAATTTGTGTTTTCTTTTAATTTGCAGTTATTTATAAGTAAGTTTATGGTTTAATTGTATAAAAGATACTGTGATAATAAAGATTAAATATTATATAAAGCAAGCTGATTTCTGATATTCCCCTTCTAACATGTAGCTGATATATCGTAATTTCATTTTTTTTATTCTTTAATATCAGAAACCCCAAAATCCATATCAGCCGGGCTCCAAAAAAGGCTGCAGCATGCAGCAATGTGAAATGTGCAGTATGACTTCATGGAGTTGATGCAAAATGTGTATTTATTATAAATTATACATCTTACCTCCAACTCCACTGTTGCAGAGAGGTGGAGGATATGCAACCACTTTATAGATAAGAATGAACAGTGATAGAGAAAATGTATTAGTGTAGGAAACTGTGTTGAAGCAGGGATTAAAGCAGATCAACGTCGAGTGGGAGTTTATTTCATATGTAAAAGCGACAAATATAATCAAAATGACAATTACCTGCAGTTATGCTCACATTTTCCACTAAAGAAAAAAAGAGAACATTTTATTTTTAGGAGACAGAACCAGAGGTCACATGAATTCATAAGATTTTGATGCGAAAGATTGAAAAAGTCAAATCTGAACTCACTGGATTTCCTGTTCTGCTCGTTTTCTCTGTAGAGTCGATGCACTCGCTCCAGCAGCTCCCACTTCTCGCAGCAGCCCGAGTAATTGACAAAGTTCCTGGCGAGAATCTCTTTCAGCTGGCGGACGGAGAGGTTCTCTATCGCCTCCTCGTTGTCCAGATCAGACAGTGAAGCCCTGATCCTCCTCTGTGTGGCCGGACTGACCTACGACACACACGGGAAACATATTTATGTAGTTTCAACATCATTCAGTTTTATATATATATATATATATGTAATAAAAACCAAGGCACCACACCTCCATGATATTTTCAGTGGGCTCCAGGTTCAAGAGGGACGCTGTTGGAGTATCCTCATGCTCCTGTGTGGGTGGAGATCAAGACAAGTCAATTCAGCTTTGTTTAAACTCTTCAGTCAATGCTCAGCCTATTTAAAAGACACAGCACATTTACTGATTCATCTCAAACATAAAACCACAGCTCATAAAGCATGTACTGTTTGACTAATGCAGACTCAGAGTGTCAAAGTCAGATGATGTGCACAAAAGAAATGTGTAGACATTTTTTCTGTTATTGAATAAACTTAGAGATCTTTGAAAAAACAGTGTTGTGTCATTCTAGTTCTATATAAAGGCCAGTATGTTAGGCCAGTTTAATTAGCTCAAGATGAACACCCTTTAAATGTGGTGCCCCCCCGGCACATTTAAATCAGCAGGTTTGATCCACGTTTCTGTCTGAACTGAAACGTGGGTTTGGAGAAAGTAAAGCTAGTAAAGAGCCCAAACAACAAAAGCATATTCAGCCCTCGTGTCCCGCGGAATGAGGAGAGAGGAGATTATCTATGGGAGGATGAGAGGAGGGATGAACTCCAGTGTTTGTGTTGTTTCTCTGCAGCTGTGATGCTGTGGGGAGTTTCTCAACCTGTGTGGCTGTTACATAACAGACTCAGCCCAACAGACCTAAAAAAGGCAAAGGGCTTAAGCTGCATCGCTGGCTGGTGTAAGAGCCACACACACACACACACACACACACACACACACACACACACACACACTTGTACTTCTATCTTTATAAGGACATTCATTTACATAATACATCTCATGTTTCCTCACCCTAACCTTAACCATCACAACTAAAAAAGGTCTATACCTCAAAGACAGAGGTACAAGTACACACATGCAGAGCTAACACAGTTGTTTCACATGCTGTCACACAGACATATCAGATAAGCCAGCAGTGTTTTTTCAATGTCAGTGGAGGAAAATCTTATCTTCACATTTTGCGGATTTTCATGGAGACACATTCAGAGCAAAGCACCATGGGAAGACAAACAAAAGATAGAAACCTGAATAACACTCAGTGGAGCGTTTACCAATCAACGCCTTTACATTCAATCAAGCTGCACCACATTTCACACACCTATAAATATCAGTTCCCTAAATGTGTTTAAGTTTTTCCCTGGGAAATCAGTGAAAATGTTGAAAACTTGCAATGTAAAAGAGAGTGGCAAAAAAAAAAGATCTGCATCCGCACCAAATTTGAATGTGTTCCTTCCACATCCTTCCTACAAGTTTCATAGTAAATCTATTTTTTGTGTCATCTTGCTAACTAACAAACACACTGGGTGAAAACAAAACCTCCTGTCTTGAGTTGAAAAAGAAAGAATAAAACAAGAAAGGAAATAATGAAATAACCAAATTGACATCTGAAGAAATTTGAACGAGAGGCTATTTGTTTGTTGGGGAGTTGAAAGGAAGAAAACCTCCTCCTGACTGAAAACTTGTAAATAAGTTGATTTCACCTCTGAAACTAATTATCTTGGATAGAATGAGGCCAGATGTGAGGGAAGTATGGCATATGGAAATTAGTGAGTGAGTGAATGCCTGCTTGTGTGTGTGTGTGTGTGTGTGTTTGTGTGTGTGTGTGTGTGTGTGAGTGAGTGTGAGTGTGTGTGTGTGTGTGTGTGTGTGTGTGTGTGTGTGTGTGTGAGTGTGTTTGTGTGTGTATGTGTGTGTGTCAGACCTGGCTGGTGGTCCCTGAGCTGTCACTTGGGCTGAGCACGTCTCCCTGAGAGGCGGAGAGGACTGACTGTTCAGAGGTGGAGCGTGTGGCAGAGCGGGGCGAGGCGGCGTGCGAGTGGGGGAGTGAGTGCAGACTGTCTGTGTCATCTCCCCCTTCATCTTCCTCCTCCTCCTCATGTGTGTCCTCCTCCTCTTCTTCCTCCTCCTCCTCTTCCTCTTCTTCCTCTTCCTCCTCGTCCTCCTCTAGCACCGCACTCTGGGGCTCCCTCGACCCCTGATGACACAGCACCAGGTCCACCAGGTCCTCTTTCTCCCGACACATGTCTGTGGGGATGTTGCGCAGCAGCAGGTACTGGCGCAAGTCCTTCACTCGGAGCTGCATGAGCCGAGGCCTCTGGAAGGCCGTGCCGCGCAGAAGGTGGCAGGTTGTGCAGCAGCGCAGGTTCTCCTGCAGCACCGAGCACAGGGCGCAGAAACTCTTCTTACAGTCGCAGCAGATGTGCTGGGGAGGAGAGAGAGGAGGAAAGTCAGTGACTGACGTGATGTGATTAGTGATTCTTTTTCTTCTGACTGAAGCAACCAAACTCATCGTTAGAATAATTCAATGTACAGCGTTCGTTTAAGAAAATGTGTTTTTCATTATTTCTAATTCGGCCCTGATGTCTGACTTCTGTGAGCATAAGAAACTAATATCCTCCACGTGACGTGTGATGAATATATGAATCACAACAGGGATTCAATTAATTTGAGCTGAGGAAAGTGGGTCAAACGATGGAACTGAGATAGTGACAGTTTCTGTTCACATTGTTTTAGTTTGAATCACAACAATTCACCAACCAAGAGTTTGACTTGCAAGATACTGTTGATTGGAACTGAGCGATAATCCAGAATTACCATTTATTAACTTTCAGTGGAACTGCTGCACGATAACAGGAATTTAATTTGTAACAAAATGATTAGTTTTCAATTCTGAGCAAAGTGCAAATGAGCTGAGATTCTGCTTTAACATTATAAAGATAATTTCTAATTTTGATGATAACAAACTTTATTTATAAAGCACCATTCATGCAGCACAATGTGCTTTACATAAAAGATGTTTAAAACATTCATAAGAAAACAATTATAAGAAAAATAAAGCTGAATATAAATAGCAAGTTGAGCTACGATTGGACAACAACCATCGGGTAAAACATTCAAAAAATGATTTGCCATTTTTTGGGAAAGAATAAAGAAAAAAAGACCTAATTGTCAGTAGTTCTTGGAGATGTTTGACATTTTACAGGCTTAACACTGATTCAGAGCGTTTGAGTGGACTGACACTTCAAATGTGCAGGAAAGCAGGACCACAGCTGTAAACATCTTATCAGTAACACACAAATATGCTCTGCTCCACCAGAAGCACATTTCTGCTGCAACAGATACACTTCTTCAATCATCTCCTCTTAATCCTCCGGCACGTCTCTTTTCATACGATAAAAATATCACGCCCGCACACAAATTTGCACGTATCGAGGGAATCGACCCGCCGTCAGACAGGCACCTGGTGTTTGGATGGCGATAGAGCGATCTGAAGCGGTGAGGACACGCTGGCATTAAACTCTGACACGGGCAGAGACCCCTGGAAATACCAGAATAAATATGTTTGCTTGTTGCTGCCCAAAAAAACGGAGACATTTAGAGCAGAAATCCATCTGTTGTGGAACTGCTGAGAACAACTAGACGTCTGCAGTCTGATCATTTATATAAGGAGTACTTCATGTGAAAGGTAGTACCTATTTCTTGCTGAAATGAAGTGAGCCATATAAATCAGAAATACTCAAGTACAAGTACCTCAAACTCTACTTTCAAACAGTAGTTGAGTAAATGCACTTTTCACCTTTGTGACAGGTGGAGCTGCAGAGAACTTCAGATAAGTTTCTTGTCACAGTGCAGAACGTGCTGCTGCTGCTTTTTGTTATGTGTGCATGTTGTACTGAACATGCTGATCCTGTTACTGTTTGTGTATTTGTCTGTGCTTTGTCACCTACTGCTCTATTCCAGTCCATTCATGTCAGTCTGACCCTGTTATTTTATTATTTCTTTTGACTCTTAAAGAGCGTGTTAATGTGAAACAGCATAGAGATACTGATAATTCCAAAAAAGAAGCTCACTCACGAGTTGAATCTCATCAGTGACTTAACAACATACAACCTTAAAAATGATCTTGTTGAGTCGAATATGGTTTTAATATCAAATTCATTTAATTCAAGTCTAGTTCCCAGGTTTTTACATTAAGGGGATCTCCACTCAGTTAATCAGTAATTATGGATGTCAGTGTTTCCTTGAATGCACCATGAATGAGCAGTCCCTCTCACTACTGCACGCAATGATTGCATAATTCAGACACATAAAAAAAAAAAAAAAACGCTGACTGAATGTGCAATGTGAAGGATTATTCAAGCAAGTTCTCTTGTCTCTGCAAGTTGATTTGGATGTAGCTCTGACCTGCAGGGGGGGGGCGGCAGCTGGTATAGTCAGTGTTAACTTGTTGTTTTGAACGTCCTTCCTAAAAATTATCTTTGGTGTTGTCCCTGAACCCTGGCTCCCTGTCTGAAACACTGTTCACTCAGCTTTAGTCTCTGCGAGCATCTCCCAGCTCTTGTCTACCTTGCGTCTGAAGACGGAGAAGGCCAGTCCACAGGCCTTGCACAGCTGTCCAGCGCTCCCTGAGCTGGTGGGCGGGTAGGTGGAGTATCCAGCACTGGGGGCGAAGCGGAAGGGCCCGGCCCCTGCTCCGAACCCGGGCTGCTGTGCCCGCACCGTGCCAGTGCCCATCACCTCGTTCAGCAGCCCGCAGCATGACGCCCACATGGACGATGCCCCGGCCTATATGAACACACACACACACACACACACACACACACACACACACACACACACACACACACACACACACACACACACACACACAAACTTTTAGAGACATCTTTCCACAGCTTTAAAAAGGGAAATCTTTTCTTCATCCACAGTCACAGACAGTATCATATGTATTATGTATCAGCTCATTCCAGTTCCTCACTGAAGCTAAACAACATATTTATGTCTCTGGACTCCACATGCACTTCTGCACTGCACTGAAGTAATGATCAGTGCATTTGAACAAAGTTTGTATAAGTACACGTAGTAATAAACTACATTCCAACACCATCATGTAGTTTACAATAAATACTGATTCAATGAGTTATCACGCTCTGATCTTGGTATTAATGCTATTTGTGTGCGTGTGTGTGTGTGTGTGTATCACGTGTAAATAACTAAAAAGCAGACGAACTGGGGATTTCTCTCAGCCCTGAATAGCGCCTGCAGTACCTCCGCAGACAAAGTAGGGCAGCTAGTGTGTCGCCTGAGACTCAAAATCCAGGGCAAAAAAAGTGAAATGTTTCACTACTGGTTGCAAAACCTTCAATGCTGCGAGCACATGGTGGAATATTTTAGGGAATGAATCAGAGTTTAACGGTAAGGAGGACATGTCCCTCTCATGGAAACTGTCTAACACCTGTTCAACGTGGAGACTGTGAGGACCTGAGCAAATCATCAACATTTCTTGTCCTCACTCTAGTCGAGCGTTAAGGGCAGAGAGTGTTACTGAGCCCTATGAGGCAAACTGTGATTTGTTAAAGTGCGTTGTACAAATAAAATGTGATTGATTGATTGTTATTCTTGTTCTCAAACAATTCACTTCCTGCCCTATAAATGAGGTTTTCCTTTCATTGGTGCCCTGGCTGTATATCAAACTATTAATTTTGTTTGTTTGTTGTTTGTTTGGCCTCTACTATACCCCGTATGTCTTGAGGAGATGGTCTCCCTTGGTACGGAGGCTGAGAGAGTAAAACAAGAGAGATGAATGAGAAAGAAAGGGAGGGAGGGAGGGAGGGAGGAGGGGAGATACTGGACAGCCCATTACTGAGAGTGCTCTTTAACAGTCCTCGAGGTTAGAGATAATTAGACAGAAGAAGCCTCTAAAAGCTCCTATTAATGAAGTTTTCCAAAGAGATCTGTGGGTTAAACTTCTCACTCACTGCATTATTTTTCTACAATCTGATAAATAAAAACGCGTTATAAGAAGCAGATGATGTGAGGAGGATATACTGGGAGGGTCAAACAAGAGGATCAGAGTCTTACGGTGGCTGTTAGATCGAGCAATCACAGAGAGACTCGGTCAGTGTTTGACCACGAGATGGGCCAGAGACACGGAGCAAAGATGGCGTGATGGGAGCCACGGCTCCTTGGAGCATACTGATGAGACGAAGGAGGGAGGGGGCGAGGTCAGCAAGGAAGAGAATATGTCTTCTGTTGTTCCCCCAGCCTGCAGAATCAATAGCTGACATGAGCATAACGTACGCCCTCTGTGGTTCCCCAGCTCTGTGCAGGACAGTATCAGAGTTCACAGGGTCCTGCCACATCTCTTCCTCAGGCAGTGCTCTGCTCCGACTTGTCACAAACACCCTGTGATCTGACCTCACCCATCTGCTTAGGGATTCCTTACGTAATCTGTGGAACCAGGCACTATATGTGGAGTCACGGCGAGGAAGGTGGAGGAAGGTCTAGCCCCTGCCGCAGTCGCACAGCCAGGATGGGTTTGCATAATTTAAATCATCCGCTTATTTCATTAATTTATTCGATTTTCACCAAACTAATATCTAAATAATTCATCTTTGGTTAACAAAAGGTAAAGAAATAGAGAAAAATGTTTATCACCTCTGCCCCCAGCTCAAGGTGACATCTCTAAAAACTGATTTTGTCAGACCAACAATCCAAAACATAAAATAATTGAATTTACAGTAAATAAAACTCAAAATCTTTAAATTTGAAAAGCTGGAATCAGTAAATGTTTCCTCTTTCTGCTTGATAAATAACTAAAAATGTCATTAATTGACTGCTATTAACTCATTTCATAGTAACTGACTATTCTTAGCTTTATGCGTCTTCTCCTGATTAAAATCTGCCACAAGCAGCTTGCTTTGCCGTGCTGTACTCCCGCAGCTTTATGCACACACAATACAACCAGGATGCATAACAACTTGAATTATTTGCCCGAGGCTTAAACTTGACCTGATGTTCGGCTGCTAAAAAAGTCTCGCAGGTCAGATACAAAACCTCCTCACCAGGGAGTGAAGCCACTAAAAAGGAATATTTACTGCATCCTCCGAGGCGGCCCTCCGATGAAAACAGTGTTATCCGGCGGTGAGCCAGCAGCACGAGATCCCTCTGTCACTTCAATTAGCCAGTGTGAGCTCTGCGGGCAGGGAGTCCCGCACAAACAAGGGACAGGAGCAACATCACTACACCGTTTTCGGCAGTATCATTTATGTTTCCTTGGGAATACTGTATTACAATGATGGATTCTGTCGATCCAATCACCTCTGGACACTCTGAATTCTGGGGCTTGGCCATATAATTGAGGCATTTCTCACATTGCTGCTGGAATATGACCAGCAAACAACCAGGGCACAGTTTTGTGCACAAACAAATCAGAGGGCCAGCGAGAGGGGAGAGCAGCAAAAAGTGACTGTGGCTCAGATTTAAAAAGAAAAACCACCTGGGAATGAATATCAGCTTCGTTCAGGCCTGATTGCATGAACAGTAATCTGACCCCATAAATACAGCTTCAAAAATAAAACTTTATCGACACAGACAAGTGTAAACATATGGGACAGAGCCATATTAAGGTGTAAATGGGTCGTATGAAGATTGGAGCTAGAACGAGTCTGAAACTGAGAGATAACACTTCTTACCCCTGAGCAGCGTCAGGTGACTGCTGAGCAACCTCTGCTGAAAAGGTTCACTCTTACATTAACTCTAGAAAAAACAACCAGGTGCCCTGAACCACTGAGTCTATTGGTCACAGGGAGTAACCACATAACAGGAATCATCCACAGTTTGAATCCCAGTATGGACTTTCATAAATGTACACATTTTTAGAGCGTTTTCTTTTCTGTGAAATAATAGATACTTTAACCTCTTTGTGCATAACTCTAGAATTTATAACATCCTTTCACATACATAGACAAACAACACCTGGATGTCTTCGGAAGCCCAGAGAAAACTCCGCCCAGACACAAGGAGAACATGCAAACTCTGCTCAGAACGACCGAGTCGACATTACTGACCTTGATGGAAAATTCATAGAATCAAATATATGCATAAACCAGTAATGCCTGACTTGCAGCCGTGTCCACCACATCTCCATAGAGCTATTTAAAAGGAATTCCACCAATTTCACACAACAAATACGTTTTCAGGACTTGGGGAGAACTCTCCAGTCCTGCTGCGTATATCCAGTTTTTGTACACTGTCCATCTTGAGTCTGAATACTGATACACAGCTACATACTCAGAGTGGTAAGGTGTGACAGTTGGAACTGCTACCAAGCATGTTCCTGGTTTGAATCCCAGCTTGACCTTGACCTTTCTGTCTGGAGTTTGCATGTTCTCCTGATTGTTGAATGCTGTGTATCATCACAACAGTCAATCTCTGTCTCTGCATTTGCAAGCATCAACAGCAATCAATACACAGACACAGTTTAAACCAGACTGAGAGTGTTAGGATGCCTGCAGAGTAAACATCTGTGCACTATCATAAAGCGTCATCATTCACCATATTTCCATCAGGAGCTGTCTCTCTCTCACATTTCATTTCCTCTCTCTGTCGGCTGAATCCTGTTTTTCTCTGGAAATGTCACTCACGCCGTGGAAAGTGAATCCCGCCGCCCGTCTGTTCAGACCAGAGACAGAAAATAAACTAATTCGTTTACAGCCTTTTGTCGTTTGTCTAAAATGATAAGACTCAACGTGAGTTTTTTCATTTTAAACTACACATTAGTGAATAATGCGCAAGATGTACTTGATTCGGTCGTGTCTGCTGCAGCCTGCGGACATCACATCCAGAGAGAGTCTGGAGAGAGATATGCACATTAAAGTCGGCTACAGGCTAAGTTTGGATTTGTGTCTGCAAAGTACAATTTTTAAACAGTTTACTCCGAGGCCAGAGGAGAACTTGGCGAGGACTTAGCCTGGAGAATACTTTTGGTTTCGCAATGCAAATGCATATTGACTGCTACGGAGATTGTACTGGAATATTAAAGCATAACCAGACTGTTTTACAACCAGCACCACAAATCTGTCGACCCCCTGGACCTTCTTCATAGATTTAGACCTCTTCATCCACTTTAGAAATCAGCCCTAAGTCAACTTATATTCTCATCTGGAATATGAGCATGAGCCACCGAGATACATCACTGTGACATCTCATAAGTTCAGCAGAGATTAGCGTTTCCGTCCGTGACGTCCAGTACGTGTTTATATGAAATGATAAGAGGATTTTGAATGGAAAGAATTAAAAAAATCAAATATGCATTTGCATTGAAATATATATTGAGTCAAAGAGTACATCCCTGATTGGTATTGATAACACATTTACTGTAAGGACGTTTTTCTGTTTGCAGATGTATGCTACGCTAACATCGTCTGTTCCATATAGGCTACAGCAAGCTGCATTTCAATTTAAAGCAGACTAAACAATAAAAACATAAAGTCCTTATTGTTTTAGTGGGACACAGTGATGATGATGTGCTGCAGGTAAATTGATTACACAATATTTTACACATGGATGGTAGTTGGTAGATGAGGTCAATTTCCACCATATTACAAGAGGTCATTTGCAAACCTTACAATACTCTGTATGTGTATAAAAGCTCAAATACCCAATAACAATATGTTTGTCCACTCTTGACTGAAAACCTCAACTAAAGAAAAAACTTAGTGTCTGAAAGTGGACTTGGTGAAAGTAACCAATCATCAACATCCCCTTCATATATAGACCAGCGGAAAGTATTTGAGTATATGCATGTATTTGAGTATATGCATGTATTTGAGTATATGCAAGTATTTGAGTATATGCACGTATTTGAGTATATTCATGTATTNTATATTCATGTATTTGAGTATATGCATGTATTTGAGTATATGCATGTATTTGAGTATATGCAAGTATTTGAGTATATGCACGTATTTGAGTATATGCATGTATTTGAGTATATGCATGTATTTGAGTATATGCATGTATTTGAGTATATGCATGTATTTACTTTGCAATAAATGTGTTTTTCATACCAAGAACAGAACACATCGCTCACTGCAATAACATGTGGTTTACTGTCAGATGCATCAACCAGCAGCTCATTACTCTTATCATATCATGCATGTGATGATGAAGATGATGATGATGATGATGGTGGTGGTGGCAGCAGTCCTGTCTAACCTCTCACTGTGCCTCAAACCTGCCTCCACCGGCGCACCGATGACATCATCGCCAACATCTTCATTATCACCGAGTCCTGAGCTCAGCTCGAGCTGCCCAGACATCACCGTCACCTCTTTCCTCCCGGTGCTGCAGCCTGACTCTGCTCCAGCTGCAGGACCACAGCTGGATCCACACACTGGCTGACAGCAGGGAGACTCCACTGGCACTGGACCTGAGAGGAGATCCGAACCGGTGTGTGTGTGTGTGTGTGTGTGTGTGTCAACACCGAGACGTCTCCCAAACATCCCCGCTCTCTCTCTCTCTCAATGACCGCAGTCTCTATCTCATTAGAGCGGATTAGAGCCTGGCGATGAATGGACGTCGCTCCGCCGGCTTTAGTCCACTGAACTATCACACTGGGGTCAGATCGGACTCATTAAAAGGCTACACACTGTACCTACTGTTTATTACACGCAGGGGGAGAGCATCTCCAAAGGGTTGCCCGCTCGCCAAGAAAATGAAAATCACACTGACAAGAGCAGGAACAGCAGCAGGCGAGTGGATATCTGATGACAACTTCCAACCAGGCAGCTAATCATGCGTAAAAACGCAAACGCCTGTTGATGTAATCACAACTAAGTGTCACACAAACAAAATTAATTGTCGTTAGGATGGAGGCATTCCTCTGCCTCTCGGTGCAGCATCGTGCGCAAAACCCCCCCACACAATAAACCCGCATCATCTACGAATCCAAAACATAAAGGAACTGCAGATGGAGTCGCATACCTTCATTGCACCTCCCGTTCGAGGAATTTGCCGAGTAATGTCAGGACGACGACCATGGCAAGTGCACAGGGAATCAAACCATTACGTCTTCCCTCTCTCCGACTGCCTGTGTGTGTGGAGTAAGCATAACGTAATGGCCAAGAGAGCCGCAGCCAACCACAGCGCGCACAGAGCCGCCGTTATCTTTAGCAGCCAATCCGCTTTGGCACAGCACCGGAGGGGGCGTTCTGCGCCGTGCGTAAAGACGCATGTTTGTGCTTGACGGACGCATCATGCTATGTTCACAGCTTTGGTTCCACATGTACGTGTGGTAAGTAATGCGCCCAACTGCAACAGCCTTGATTCAAACATGGTTTATTTTATTATTATCTGTTGTTTTCAGGCAGGATTATTTTATGCTCACAGTTTTTATGAGGGTTTAAGACTTTTTTTAGGTTAAGGATTTTTTTAGTGTTTTGGATTTCCCTTCACAGAAATAACCAATTTTGCAAATGCAGCTTTATCAATATCAACTTAATTTATTATTTACAATTTATTTCACTCAGAGGAAGATAAATCTACCTACATATTATTTCACCTTCCTATGTAATCCATATACAAGCATATGTGCATTGTTGTGCACACTATGCTGCTGTCTGCAGTAAAGGAGGTTAAAGGGGTTTTCTTCTTCCATCACAGCGCCAGTACTCACTGTGAGCCCGCAGGGGGCAGCAGATAGCGCTGCATCATCGTTATTGTCATCTTTCAGAGATAACTGAGCCTCAGGGGGAGGAAGGAGGGCTCCTCGTGTTTGTTCCTGCTGGATAATGCAGCTCATATCATACAGACTGTGTAGGTTGCGTAGCTGCTGCTGCTGCAAGTGTGCAGGAGACATCAGGACCCACACTAATGCAACTACAGTGTTAAGCTGCTGTTTAAGTGCATTTAAATTCTCTGCCATTTCCCACACATCAAACAGTGACCCCACTATGTTGATTTTATTTCACAGAGCCACATTAAAGATCTGTTGAGGCCTCTGGGCTGCCAGTGACACACTTAAGAGCTTCAGAATTGGCCTGAATATTCATCCACAGCGTTCTAACTTCAAAGTTGTGTCGGAGCATGGAAGTGTACACTTTTTTTCCCCCTCACGTGTGTTATTTCGAGAGAACCACTTGGAGTAGATGTGAATGTGACTTAAAGTGCTGTGTGCTCAAATAAGAGTTGTTTTCAGGGTAGTGGTGCCATGCGTTGCAGGTAATTCTAGTTTTATTTTGCAGGTTTTGACATGTTATTCTCAGATCTCTACTTCCACCCACTCACTGAAATAACCTGAAATGACTGCCCTGTGGTTTAATGCTTCCTTCATCCAGTTCAGTTTCAGTCTGTCATGTTTACCAGACTCTCACTGTGACCTTTGACCCCTGAAATATAATCAGTTGATTTTTTTTTAAACTTTAAAATTTGGAGAAATTCTCCGAAGGCAAAAAACGTTTTGTTGGGCCACCGTGACCGTTGACCTCCAAAATCAAATCAGTTCATCCATTGGTCTAAATGAACATTTCTGCTAAATCTGAGAGGATTCCCTGGAGTCTATAATGATGCATTACATATTATTACACTAATAATATATACCTGTGGATACTTGGGCTAGACGACTCATGAGGCCTTTCAGGAGTTTCAGGATCAGTGTTTGGGATTTTTAAATTTGCAGAATATTTGTTGCATGAAGGCTTCGGAAGGTTCTGTGAGGTCAGGAGCAGGGATGCACCTTTTGAGGGGAGGGGTTTCAAAGGGGGAGGTTTTATTAAGGTCTGGGAGTGACCAACCTTGTTCCTTTGTTTGAGACCATGCGGACCTGCACCAGTGAGTTTGTTTGATTTTATTGGGTCAATGGTTGAGAATTTATTTTCCCTTCTTTGTATATGTTAATATATTATGCACCCTAATTCACTTATCTATTAATCCCTAATGCTCGGTGATGATATTTGTTTGTGTTCCTGTTGAAGGATGCAGATGCTTTTGTCAACAGGATGCATAGATTATGTAAGTACCTCATTTAATCATTTATTTTGTTTGGTAATATGGTTATAAGTTCATTTGTTGTTGTTATTCAAAAATTCTTCCATTCCTCCAATCACCCACCTTTTGTATTGGATCCATGTGTTTCCCACTCAATCACTCTGCTTCTGATCATGCAGTTTATAACAAAGGCAACAAGTCAAATACCATGCTGCATATGTTTCGGGGAAATGTGTTCTCCACATGGCTCTTCAAGTTTTGCAACTTTGAATGAGAAACAGACGATACGATTAAACTCTGTGGGAGAATGTCAGACTTTAAAACTTTGGAGAGAGTCCAACGCCCAATTGTTTGGGGAGTTGTGAAATAAAATACCCTTCACCTACTCTTCACCCCGGATGTAGTCACCTCTTGTTCTGTCAGGCCCCATGCAGCTCTTCTGCGCTGCCAACAATTACCACTAGATGGAGCTTGTATTCTTTCCAAAACAGCACTCCACTGCTCTTTGTGTTTTACATTTCCTTTGACATTCCTGAATAACTGGTAAACAATGGGAGAAAGAAACTAATATCAATAAATTGAATGAAGAAAACCTAGGAAACACATTTTAATAACATCAAGTGACTTGTTTTTGAATAAAACACATTTGTGGGAAGAAAGGTTACTGAAAAAGTGTGTAATTGACCTTTACTTAAGTACTACTGTACTTCCAGTACTACTTGAAGGAAAAAAATGCGTCATTGTGTACACTGAATATATTTTGCAACCATTCTGTTCTCCGATTATCATGTTGAGACTCGTCAGATCACTCATACTGATACACATTAATGCCTCGTGGCAATGAATAATCTTATGTAACCTTTTTTTGTTTGCTAACTTGTAACTGAGTATTTTAATGCAGTAGCAGTGATTTGCTAGTTCTTATACTGCTGCTACGTGCGCTGCAGTGAGAGCCAGCACAGTCGGTATTATGGTCTTATGAGGATTAACCAAGCTCTGTTTTATTGACAGGAAGATGTGTGAGTTTTATTTGGGAATTAAAACATTCCTTCTGCCTCCTACATCCTCGTGCACTAACCTGCTCCAATCACACGGATGAGAATGATGACTTACCTGGATGATAGCTTTTTGGAAACAAGGAGAGGAATCTATCAGACAAACATGGACAGTGCAAGATAGATCATGCAAAGACTTTATGAAATAATGAAAGTTCATTATACCCTCCAGTATCTTTCATTTGGTATCATATGCACATGAGCGGCTGTTGACAAAACTCTTAATCAATGAAGAAAAGACAAAATACACAAACAATTGACATTCAGAATCAGAATCTGCATTTCAAAGCTTGCTGTAAAATGAATGATGGATTAGTACAATTGTAATGTTTCATGTGGAGAGCTTTGTCAGATTAAACTCTAATACTTGAATACATATTTAATAATATATCTTTTAACAGAATTGATGATCTCTAACGAAGCAGGTTATGTTTCACATCTGTCCATTTGTTTGTTGGTTGTTTTCTATGTTTGTAAGAAAGATCTTATTTCTATGAGTTGGTGCAATTTGGTGCAGTTTGGATGAATTTCACTTTGATTGTTGGGCCTCTGGTTCCTTCTTAAATGTTTTTCCTGAAGTACCTCAAAGCGATATGTTCTGTACTGTATTTACTTGAATTGTGTATATGCTGTACTTCCCACAACTGTACACAAGACACTGTTTACGTTTGGTAAACTGCACACAGTCAATTTGAACTGCTGAGTGTTGGCAGCTGGTTTGAGTGTCAGCCATAAACCAGCCGCGAACCCTTTGTAATTTGACACTCCTCTGTTCAGAGTGACAAACTGGGAATAGAAGATGGATGGCCTCAGCCCCCCCCCACTGCAAATATGAAAATGCCTCGCTAGCAGAGCTTCCACAAGTCAGCAGGATGTTGATATTATTCAGCCTCTGACGGGTCCACGGCAACATTCTCATCCACACACAATATTAAATGCTCACGTGGAAACCAGGTGCAGCGGTAGAGTCTCTAATGTCTCCCTGAAGTGTTGGAGCAGAGACGGCTCAGACTCCAGCAGATAAATAATCCTGGTACACAGCAAAACCATTAAAACAACACATCTCCAGGAGGACATAGGTTTTACGTATAGACCTCATTTTTACAGATGTGTCTATAGTTGTTATTAAAAATGGATCAAATGGCTGCTTATGGTGTGAAAGAGTTCGTAATGATGAACACACAAAGAATCATCTTTAGTTGTTTTCATCTTTTAGCTCATTGTTTTGGTTGACCAGCTCATTAATACAGTGGAGCATTTATATAGTAGATATATCCCGTGTGAATATTCAGCATAGTCCTAGGTTTTATTTTTATTTATTCAGTTTTACTGTATTTCTTTTTCCTTACTAACGATATAAAACAGCATGGAGACCTTGAAAGCTACATAAACCAAAGTTAGTTTTATATGTACTTTATATAGTAAAGACCAAAAAAGAGTCAATATTTGATTTACATTCATCAGATGGACAGAAACATGAGTCCAAATAAATGATGATACTCTATATCTGCTGGTTTAAACATTTAAATATGAATATTTATCATAGAAAACCCCAAAGCATCATTTAATGCAGCTGAAGGAATGTATTTTGTTAGACTAACACATTTCAGATGAATACAATTTAAAAAGACTCACAATCCAATGATTAGTTCTTTATCTTCACATTTGACAACACACTGTTTGGTCTTGGTGAAATGTTTTATGATGTGCTGCGTAACAACATGATCGATCATCAATAAAGTCTCCATCTACTGCCCAGCGCTATTTTATATCTTGACTTGTGGTGTAATAAATAAACAGTTAAAGAAGACAAGTCCACAAAAGACCAACTTTATTCAAATCATGTTTATTTTTTTAAGCAACAGCAAGCAAACATAGTTTTTTCTTTAAAAGCAAGCCACGATTTCATGGGGACAAAATCAACTACTGGTACCAATGTTATTATCATGGCAGTGATTTGTGTGAAAATTCAACAACTTCCCCCTGAAAAAACAAAGCTCGTGCAGTCGTCCTCATGTGCAAATGAGTCGTGCAAATTAGTAAACATTTCATTTCTATGATCAAAGGTAGTAATTTACTCTGCGTGTCCAGAACACACTCTAATTATACTCTCATAGACACACACGCGCACACACACACACACACACACACACCAAGCATCCTGCTCATTAACATCCCTGTAAACACAAATAAACAGATTTTCCTGAACATTAGCATGGACAGAAAACATCTGTAGGCAGGAAACGACCTGGGCTCTGGCAGAGTTGCGTTCACATGCGGCAATATTTAATAAATCCCTCAAAAAATAATCTCAAATTCTTCAGGAAATGTATTGAAATAATATTTTACACCTTTGACTATATATAAAGATGGACGACATCTCCCAAAAGTGAAGCCAAAGCGTCTCGATCACCACCTGGTGGCTGGCTGCAGTATATGTAATTAGTCCTGCTTGCTCCTGGTTAGCATATGGGACATATTTACAATTTACGTAGTTCTTGTCACATTGGTGTACAGGATGTTTAATTATCCCAGTAAGTTTGGTTTTAATTACTTGTTTGACGCTATTAAATGGGCTGAAACAGCATGATTGACAGCTGAGAATGTTTAGAGATTGGTTGAGTGTTGAGCGCGGACTCTGATTCCCTCGTGGCGTTTGCGTAGAGATGCATCCATCTTTCTCCACAGTCTAGAGTTTAAACTGAGGCCTTTCCTTTTTCGATTAAATAGGAGAAAAGGTCTTTTGGACGCAACACACTCTCTGTCTGTGGGGTCTGATTATTGCCCAACAGTAAACAGTCTTGTCCACGTTTTAAAAACGATACCAAAATATAACACCTACATATCTAAAAAAACACACCAGTTAATAAAACATTGTAATTTATTCATGCCACAACAAGGATTAATGTGCAGACTGTAGCTCCACACAGGAGAACATAAAACAGCTGTTTGTAATGGATTCATATAACTCTGTGTATGCCTTTTAAAACAGAGTGGGCATATTTCATGTTGCTTATGATTTCCACTTATAAATAGAATCATTCATGAACCACCAGTGGACAAAATTATTTGGGGCTAGTCCTGTTTGCGGGGGAAAAAATAGATCTGCGGCTCGCCGTCTGTGCCTGAGCGGGTCTAATGAGACCTGATAGAGGCGGAGATCGGTTCATCAGCAGCTCGCGTCCAAACACTGTCGGTGTCGTGTGCATGTATCAGGCTGCATCAAACATCAAACACATGTACTGGAGCATCAGGGCTCAGGATTTAAATTAAGATGTGTTCAGGACGCTTCTTTTATTTACTATAAGTTGCTATTTTTTAAAATAATTCTTTTGTAAATAATGTGTTCCAACAGGAAGAAGTGGAGGCATATCTTTATGTGAACGTAGTCTCACTGCAGAGTTCTGTCTAAAATTATATCCTGTAGATTGAAGTTCATTTTTCCATTCACTTGAATAGGAGAGTGGGTTCAGACTCTATGTCAAAGCAAAAACATGAGCAGAAATTAAACTGATTGATTTTCTTAAGTGGGATTTTTAGTTGCTTTGATTCATTCTGACTTTTCACAGAAAAGGGGCAGCAGGAGCAAAGTTAGGGATAGAAAAATGTGCTCAAGGAATGTGAATTAGTAAGACTCCCCCTCCAACCTTTAACACCCACCGCCGAGGTGCCCTTGTGCAAGGCACTTAACCCTCAGCTGCTTCAGTGGACAGTGACAGATAACAGGAAGCTTCCACAAAAAAACGAAAAACAGCAAGTCCATTCAGTTCAGTCCAACTTCTCCTGGGTGAATGGAGGTGGAATCATTGAGTGTCTGCATCACATTGCCGGACTTCAGCATTCAGAGGGAAAAACAACACACTCACTTATTTAAAAGTTTTTATCAGAAGCTGGATTCATCTTCTGCCACGACGGCACCTGCTCACACAGGAGGCTACACTCAGGGCGAGGTGACTCAGAGGGATACCAGTCCCTCTGAAAGGAAGCAGCTCTGAGCGATCACCTCCCACAGAAGTGCAACGGAACAGATTTTGACACATTTTCTTCACCAAAGCCCCAGGCCCGTAGCTCCAGCCTGTCCACCTCCTCCTCCCTGTCGTCCTCCTCCACATCGCCCTCCTCGCACAGGCTGGGCTCCTCCACAGAGGTCTCCATGTTTGGGTTGTAGTGACCGAACGCCTGCGCCTCACTGAACTCGTAAATGGTGGGGAGGCTGCTGCGCAGGCCGAAGCGTCGCCGCAGGGCCACAAGCAGCGGCTGTGGCACGGTGAAGATATCAACATTGTTGCCCAGGTCGATCCAGGCCAGGCAGGGGAAGTTCTTTGGATCTTTAACCGTGTCCGTCAGGTCTTTCAGGATGGCCACCGTCAGACGGTTGCCATTGACAGCTAGTATGGTGAGTTTGGGCAGGCAGCCGAGGTGAGGCAGCAGCAGCCGTAAGCTCTCGTCCTGGAGCTCAGTGAAGCTAAGGTCTACGGCCGTCACCGTGTCGCTGCTGCTCTGGAGGTAGAAGGCCACGCGGTGGACATCTCGGCCCGACAGTGGGATGCCAGACAGGTTGACCACGTCGCCTGATACTTTCTTCTTCAGCGTGGTCTTCAGACTGTGACAGAGGAGACAAAACAAGTTCTCTCTGAGGCACAAATGCCAAACTGTTGCAGACTAACCCAAGTCTGCAAATTCTTCACTATTACCAGTCAGCATTTCAGAAGTGTGTAAAGACAAACAGTGTTTACATAATGATACAGAGGTTATTGATCTATAAGGGTCTGTAATGAGGCACCGAACGGTCCCACAGGAACAGGGAAACTGCAATGTGTGCACAAAAAGAAACAGTATGCAGCATTAGAGTGTAGAAAGTGTTGCAATCAATAATGCAGAGAATTTGCTTTTAAATGTGTCTCGGTCCGAGTCCCTCAACAAATTCTTCCTCCAGGGCTGAGTTTCATCTTCTAAATGACAGCAGCTGTTTTCAGTTTTGGGGATATTCTCTCCCGATTCATCATCGAGCAGTTCAAACAAGGCAAAAAGTAAAGACGTTGCCAATGTGTCCCAAACAAAAACCTTGTTTTGAGCTGAGGTTGTGGTTGTTGGCACACGGGACAATGTGACATACAGAAAACATGTAAAACATTCAGGAGAGATAAGGATTCTTTCATTTTTAGAAATCAGGTCACTTGTGTTTGAAAAAGTACAGGAAACATATAGAGTGTGGATTTGCTTTGTTGCTGAGAGTTTGATTGATTGAAGATTGATACCAATCTCATGTCTGTATGTTAAATATGAAGCTATAACAAGCAGCTAGCCTAGATATTAACTGTGTCCTAATTCCGGGGATGCATCCTTCAGAGGCTGTATTTGAGGCTTACCAATTTCAATGGCCCCCTTAAATACCTCCTTCCACCCCTGAGCAATGAAGACTCCAAAGCGTGAATCCTTCTCAGGCCAGCCTAGGATTCATCGCCTTCAGTGGTGAAGAGTTAATGGTGGCAGCAAGTGATGAGACCAAAACATCCAGTGCTTTGGTGTTTGGTTTCATGTTTAGAAGTAAGGATCAGGCTAAATTAAACAGCTGACAGTATACGTGAAAAAACCAAGGGGCTTGAAAGTGTTCTTATTGTGTCTAACTGCAGCTCTGTCGCTATGCCGTGATCCAAATCACGCTCTATGTGGCCACAGAGGCCGTCTCCTTTGTGGGTCGTGGACACAGCAATACATCTGATCTGCATTACTTCTTTTGAACAAATACTTCCCCGTCATTTTGCACACAGACACAAAGAAAACTGAGTTTTTGTGAATCTGTATTTTGAGTTTTTAAAAACCTCTTTTTGTGACGTAACACGCAGAGGAACGCTTGTTTTGCTAAAAATCTGAATTGACATGAACAAGGCGATAGTCAGGCAAATAAACCTGAACCCAATAAACACAGAAATTATTAATTTTTATTTTATTTTTGTACTAAACTAAGTTAGCCCCTGTTGGCTGTCGCTTTATATAATTAGTGCACACACATTAAAGTTGTAGCAGCCTCCTCCTCTAAGTTCAGTCAGAGGTCTGGAGATTTAGCGCGGGACAGACAGGAGGATAACGGGCTGGATGAGGGACGGACGAACACGCTGAAGAGGGACAAAGCTGAGCCTGAAACGATAAGAGCGATAACGCCAAGTATCATCCATTTTCAGTCATAACGACTTCAGACAAAAGGTGTAAGGTGAATCCATCTCAGGGACGAGCAGCACTAAGAGTATCACACCTGTCAGGTTGGATCATTGTATCCCTCATTGGGCAATATGAAGCTAAGTGTTCTCTCTATACCAGAATGTGGTCAAATATTCATAGGAGCTATAAGGCGCCTGCATGCAAGACTAAAGGCAGCAGTGATCACCTCCCACAGCGAAGACATCTGCCAAACAAATGAGGATGAAGCAGAAATGTGGGACTTTGTTTAAAAGAAGCCTCTCTTTGTCTTTAGAGTCTGTTTGCCTTTGCCTTGTCCCTGTTTCCTCAAGCGAGGATTATCCCCGCATCTCGCTCTGCTCGCCGTTCTGTCTGGGAGGCTGTGCTCTCTACATCAGTCACCCTCGCTGCTCCTTCCAGGGAAAGAAAAAAAATCCGTAGCACACCGAGGCTGTGATTTGAAGACTATTGATTCTAGGAGGAGGCAATAACTCATCTCTCCCTCCTTCACATCCTCACTCTTGTTCACTGTCGCTCTCTTTCACGGTCTTTTCTGTTTTTTGGCCCTTTTTTTTGCAGTCTCACTTTGTCTGAGACCTTGTATCCACTCTTTCATCTTTACCTGTTTTCAGCCCTGTCTGTTGGTTGGCTGGTTGGTTTGTGAGCAAGATTACACAAAAACAACTCAACAGATTTTAACAAAACTAGGTGGAGGATGTGATATGGGTCATGACAGAACCCATGAAACTTTGGTTTAGATGCAAAACTTACTTTAACATTGTGAGAGAGGGCATATGTCAACATTTTTATTGTTTTACCAGAGAATAACTCATAGATCTTGATGAAAAAATCTGGCGTATTTACTGAAGTGATGTCAATGAGTGTGTGAAATTTGGTGAAGCTTGATTAAACTGATTTAAATTAAAATTGGATTAAATATAAAATCCTCATCTCAACCGCATTATGCAGATGCTTGACTTTTTGGGAGCTGCCATGTCGTCCATCTATATGCCATCTGTCATATTTACTCGTTGCTGATAATGTTATATATATTATTATACATATATTATGTTAAAATTCCATTCATTCTTTAGTTATCTTGGCCTCTACTGGTAGATGTTTGCTACTGTAATGTAGAGTGGTTTATAAAGAGTATTTGTTTTAAGAGTTAACCAGCAGAAAGTCCAAAAGTTTAGTCCAATACATTTCCATAAACAGTATATATACTTATACTTAGAAAGCTGAAACCAGTAAATGTTTGACCTTTGACTTCAAATTCATTTTTCATCAATATGACCAAAACATTCCTGAGCTCAATCAAATATTGATTTCAACTGTAGTCTTTTTAAAAGTTAGACTGCATCAGGCAGATTCTTGGCACGCTCGACCACAGGAGGTTTACTGCACCACCGTGCCGCTTATGCACTTTACTGTAATGAAACTAATTATGAGCATCGACTCCTGTTCTCTTGGACGTACTTATCGGAGGGTTTTCTTGCTTCAACTGGATCCCTGCCCTCTCGTCTGAGCGCCTGTGTTTGTGTAGGAGGAGTGGCTCCATGAGACAGCGTCAGGCAGGGTCGCTCCTGTAGCTGAGTGGGTGGTGCAGGGGGGGGGGAGGTGGAAATCTAATGTGTTTTTAATGAGATTAAGTGAGGTCGACTTCAGACTTCCTTCCAAATCTGCAACCTTCCTGCTCCGTGGGCACAGCTCCACCCACAGGCTGCTCGGCTGGACGCGGGCCCGGGCGCGCAGCTAGCGTCTCTGAAGCCACATCGCACACACTGTAGTCCGTCACCATGAAAAGATAACAACAAAACAAAATGTCTAATCTGGCTCCCTCTGATGTGGCTGCCATGCTCGTAGGCAGTGGTGCACATCCTCTTGGACCAGCTCAGACACAAACAACTTCAAAGTGTAGTCGACCGGCATAAACACGACGCTAACCGAGAGCGTCGTCCCCTGTACGAGGACTCATTTAAAAGCAAACAACTGAGGCGAATCCATCTATTGGCTTCCTCAGGAGCGACTGATAAAACAGTACAGGAATCTAATAAGAGCCGACTCTCAAGTGTCAAACTATTGGCTGTTTAAATGTGGGTTCAGGCAGGCTGTCTAATTGCTTTTCATAGCCTGTCTTTCCTCGGGGATGTTGTTAACTTTTACGCACTGAACAAGGGTCCTCGCCGCTCTATAGTCATGCAAACCCCAGAGGTAAGAAATAAAACATCTGGGGAAAAAAAACAGAGGACGTGTTTTTTAAAGAAGCATTTGAGAAAGAGAATTTTGAGGGATACGCTGCTGAGGAATCTGCAATTCAATCTGTGTTTCAACCACACTGGATGGGATTTGTAGTGGATGACAAACCTCCATTGGTTTGATGGATCTCACAGGCTGCTGCTGTTCATACAGAGATTTACTCAGACAGGCTCCGATGCCCAGAGACGACAACTGCAAACACCACGCATCTGCTCCAGCTGCGTCTCTTATGCAACTTAATGGAAATGAGTTTGTGCAAAAACACTCAGCTGTCAGACTGATAGGAACAAGTAGCTAAAACGAACACAGTCTAACAATCCTGCAACAGATCCCCCCTTCATGGAGGATTTCAGGGTTCAGCTTTTGTTCAGATTGAGATGTTGATTGCTCAGGTAGTATGTTTGTAGCTCTGTTAACCTACATGGTGTTTTTATTTTCTTATTTTGCTGTTTGGTTCAGTTGAAGCGTTATACTCAAGCATTGGACGCCTTGTTGTTGGTAGTGGTTGGAAGAATCCATCCATCGGAGCCTTTGTTTCTAAGAGATCGAAGGACACATTTGTCATAAATTCATAATTGGAGAGCCTAGTTGCTCCACTGTGACACAATCAGTCTTCAATTGATCTATTGGCAGAAATTGGAAAAAAAAAATATTCCTAGTGATGTTTTCACTAGTGTGTTTCATCTAAATTGTACAAATTGTTGTGTTCTTTACTCTAGAATGGCTCCTTTATATTTAAATACTTTATATTTACATTGGGAGCCGGTCCTCTCTAGGGATGGCGGCCATGTTTTTTACAGTAGCCCAAACTGGACAAACTAAACCTTTTGAGTTTTTACGACAACTGAAGACGACCACATGTTCTCTGTCATGTTTAGAAGGACAGGGTGAGGTGAGGGGCGTTCAGCTGCAACATTCAACTTCACCACTAGATGTCTCTAATATCTACACACACTGAACCTTTAAATGTAACTAAACGCTGCCGAACCAGGAGGAGGTGGAGGCGGCTCATGGGGCTGACACTGCATCCTCCAGGATTAAGACACGGCAACATTTTCATAACAAGACTCACAAACCTTCACTAGTCTTCTGCCAGAGTTTTAAAGAAATGGCAGGAAAAACTTGTAATCTGCCCACCCACATAGAATACATGTTCCCCTCCATTAC